GTTAGCAATCCCCTGTTAATCATATTGATACCCTCCCCCAATTTTCATCTTATTATTTATACAACACAGCACATGTGAGATTTTATCAAAAATTGAATTGATCTAATTAGAAGTTGCACCACTCAATATAAGTCATGTCCTATTTTATCAATTTTTTTTTATGGATTCTTGTATTCTTTAACAATGCATTGCAGTTGTAATGCTTTTAGTCTATATGTGTGTGTGTGTGTGTGTGTGTGTGTGTAGGGCCTTTATGGAAAGGGATCTTCATGTTTTTTCAAAAATAGAGATTAGTTGTGCAACCCACGCCTTACCACATTGAACTAAATATTTGCAAGCATGATTTAGAATAAAGACTAAAAATAGACTGTTCAGCTTGTTAAAGTTCGATGTGATGTGGGCTCTTCCCTTGAATGCCCCTAAATCCTCAATGGTATACAAACAATCGCCAGAAGCCCATGAACATCGGTGAATGGAGGGATTGTTTGGCCGATGTGATTAAATCCAACGAGAATTGCCTACATATCTCCTTGTATGGAGAATCAAACAATGTGTAGCTCTTGTGAGTGTTGTGGGATAAATGATCGTATATACCCAGGCTAGGGTATTTATAGAGATGTTGAGAATCCTTGTAGGGAAAGTAATCTCTATTAATACAAGATAGATTCTAGGAGGTATCTACATCAGATATTAGATCCTCGTAGGATTATGATTGCATTGCCTAATCTCCAAGATATCCTAATTTGACATGAATAAGGGTTTCCTTTCTTGGGAGACAAGTAACCTTCCTAATCCGCTTAAGCCTACTGGACTTGTGCCTGACTACCTTAATCAGGGCATGTCATACTCGAAATACCTATGCGGCTCCAATCTAATGCTAAGGACTTTATGGTCATTCCGACCATCCGGAGTGCCATGTGTCATAGGCTTGAAAATTATAGTCCTATACATATGTATATATCTATATTGAAATTTATATTGTGCTCTGATGTATAACATGCACCAAATGAATGTATCGTTGAATGTGCAGCTAAGGATCCAACGCCTACGGGCGTATAGTACACAAAAATATAGTACAATAAAATTGATCCATGAAGTTTTGCCTTAATTTACAATTGGTCCTTAATTAAACTAAAAATATATTAATTGGAGTCCTTGAATTTTAACAAAACGTACACCACCGGTCCTGACACACCCCGACCCTGAATATCCACTAGGACCCTAAATAGAGGCGTGCTGGCCGACACCTGGAAGGTGACAAAGCCATAAAGTGTGATAATGTATAAAATGTGAATAAATTAAAATCGAAAAGTGCCTAAGTATACGAATGCGCGGTGAGCGGGTCTAGACCCATTTCACGCTTGATACAGAGCATATGTATAGTACAGTAAGGTAAGATAATGATTATACCATCATAAGAAGACATCTGTACTGGAAAGTGCCACGAATCCTCGTCGATGTGGAACTCTGCTGGTAGAACCTGGAAGGGTGCAAAAATAGAAAATGTGAGTGAGTGAACAAAACTTTTCAAACCAATTTCAATTACCAAAGGCAGTAGCCCCTCGCCGTAACACCTGTATAATTTCCCAGAAAATTGAATACATATCTATCTCAATCCCATACATGGCATAACAAAGTCCACATGAATATCATGCCATAGATCTCAATAAACATATATATCTTATCGATATGTTAGTTAGAGTCACCTCACGTAACCTGTACGGGTAAATCAATATCTCATCAATCAATGCTAGCACATATAAGTTGGAGTCACCTATAGTGACCTATACGACTTATTCATATCTTATCACATATCTCATCAATCATTGTTAGCACATATAAGTCGGAGTCACCTATAGTGACCTGTACAACTTATCCATATTTCATTACATATCTTATCAATCATTGCTAGCACATATAAGTCGGAGTCACCTATAGTGACCTGTATGACTTATCCATATCTCATTAATCAGCTCATCTACCAAATCCTGCACACGAGTCGGAACCACCTAAAGTGGTATGTACGACAGGCTGGGTGTAAAAAAATACGCTCAAGTGCTACGATCACGTGAAGGCTGTGCGAAGTATTGCAAGTCACCTATGAGTCGGAACCACTTAATGTGGTCTGTATGACAGGCTGGCACCTACCTTGGATCCAAGGTGAGCATGTGGTGCGGGAGGTGAACGATCACGCGAATGCTAGACCCTAGCCATGGGGGAAGCACTAACACTGAGGTGCAGGATAATGAGCGTTAAATACATCTCAACACAATCATACTCACTACCATCAATATCATCAACATGTACTCACCTGAAGCTTACCTGGGCGTCCGCAGCGTCATTTGACACTTCAAAGCATTCACAATAATTAGGTTCAGGTAATATATATAAGAATATGCCATGATGCAAATCTAAGAATCAGGCATTTCATAGTATTCCCAAAATATATAATACGGCGTAAAATATACAACCAATAATGCCCTACTCCCAACTATTTACTTTCAGGAATAGTTATCGGTGATAAACCCAACTAAATACTAGTTTAACTAACTATCAAAATTGATGACTTCTTACTTCAATTCTCTATTCCTCACACATTGATTTATGACCACATTTAACCACCAATTCATAAAGCTAAAACTCACATTTCCACCAATTTTCTTCACATTGCTCAATTTCCCAAACAAGGTTTTTGTCTCAATTATTGTATCTCACTTATTGTATGGCTACATCTAACGTCTCGTTAGACTGCCTACATATCCTAAACAGGGATCAAGCCATTCGTAGTTCACATCAATTACTTCAAAGCATTCACAGTAATCATAAGCCATAATCGATTTATAAATGGTTGTGGAATTATCAATTATACACACACACACACACACACACGATAGAAAAGAAAAGACCCACTCACCCTGGTGTCCACACTATGATTCTCTAGCATGCACATCAAGACGTCCGAACAATTTGTTCCTAGAACAATTATCGAATCACATCTCAGAAATTTTATCAACAAAATACGTAATTCACATAAAGCACATCCTCAAGGACATTCTAAAATAGTTTGAGGCCCATTGAGGGTCTACAACCCTATATAACTCGGTCCAGAAAATTCGTACATTAGATTTCCAATCCACAACTTCCAAAGATACACATTATGCTTCTAGAATAACATACTAAAATTTTATTACGATCCAACGGTTGGATCTCCCCCAATTGCCCAAAACCAAGTGACGGTTAACATTTATTTCACGAACTTATAAATTCAATTTGGGAAGATCCGCACATCAGATTCCCAATCCGTAACCTCCTACATTCTTCAAATATTACGTACTACAATGTAATAAAGTTTGATGACGATCCAACGGTCGGATCGTCAATTCACATAAATACCTATTAACATATCATAGAGAATTTAGGTTCTAACAATCAACCTACGTCATTCAAATATCAAAACTAAATTCAAAACATGTAACAGAGCCTAAAAATAGCATTGGCGGCCTACTGGCCACGCGCTGCCGTGGGTGATGGTCGGCCACCCGGACTTGCCGGAAAATCCAACTATTTTCAAAAATTACCAAACTTCACAGAAATGAAGATCTCAGTGAGTAGAACAAACTTTTTACCTATGGCTAAGGCCAATTTGGCTTGGAAAGACTCCAATTTCATGAAAACCCATCGGAGCCCTAGTTTTGGGGTATATTCAATTCGACTCCATGGATGCTCCAACGCCCCTACCATCACTTGGGCTTTGTTCCTGAGGTTGAGGGGAGCCTATTGGTAGTGACAATTGGCTGAGTTAGCTTCACAATTTGTGGATTGCCGCCGAACACCCACACGCACCACTGGTGCATTTCTCCCGAATCTAAGGCCAAATTGTATGAATTTAGGGGTAGGAATGGTAGAGAGAAAGCTAGGGAGGTGTTTCCAGGTGATGGTTTGGCTTAATTCACTGGAATTTGGCCGGGAAATCTTCGGTTTCTATGGTTCCCGCTGGCCGGGTCACATGGGTCAAGGAAAACCCGTTTTGGATTCCCTCATTTTCTTCTTCTCTACTTTCCCTCCTGGTTCTTAACTCTCATTCGTCACTCTCCCTCTCTCCTCATTTCTAATTGGGTAGTGCCCATTTCTTTCCTCTCCCTCTCTTTCGCTGCCATCAAGCAACCATCCCCCTTTTTTCTTTCTTCTTTTTCTTTTTATCAATCATTAACAACCCTTTTCATAACAAAAATAATAATAATAAGAAATTAATAAGATAATAAATAACAATTCTTACCAACGCACTTTTGGAATACGGTAAGGTAATAGTTCATACGAGTCATGAACTAACGATCAACGAAAATCAATACCCTCGCCTCTAGGGTATTCTCATAAATTTCACATTTTAAGATTTATAAAATAATAAAATTTGGGACGGGTTGTCACAATAAATCTCCCACCACAACCCGGGCCGGGATGTGACAGGTCCCAACTGTTAACACCAATAAAAAATTGTTAGTCTGATAATGTGACACTCATGTGGGTCAGTACCTATGCAATTCTAGTTCAACAACCAAATCTGAATTAGAGTGAAAATTCCCGAATCAATTGTGAATCCTATGCCAGCCATATAACTAACTTGATGAAAAATCTAAGGGACCAAATGTGTACATTTTGCTAAATCAAAAACCTTAATCAAAGGATAATAAAAATTCAGTCTAAAGGCCCATCTAAATAAAGATGAAAGTTCATGATGCAGCAATTTTAAATTTTATACTTTGTATTCTAGTCTTTACCAAAAAAGAAAGCAAACTCGGAACTTGACTGATGAGGCGGTGGAGGTGGCAGAGAGAGGGTACAGCGGGTAAACAAACACATCTTATCAAGAATTTCGGCACATCGATCATGCCACAAAGACCCAACATCGTGGCTCGCCAAACAAGCCATGCACCCACAAACACAGCTGGAGTTCAGGGCCCCGCTCTGGACACGCGTCGTTTTCTGACTCTGCAAGACTGCAACCCACTTGCCCCCCTGCCCTTTTAATTCTGGTACTCAATCATTCCTCTTCAGTTTCAGTGTTTCAGTCACTGGCGCTTTGTTCTGATAATTTGGCAACTTTCCTCAGAAAAATATGAAGGTAATTAGTACGTACTAGTCGCAGAACCATGCACATTATTATATCATATTTTAACTTCTTAAAATGCACAATTAATTGTGCATGTCACTAATTGATCGTCTTTCTTGATCTTCTTTCTCTGCATATAGATCTTCAACTGGGTTCAAAAGCGGCTTCATCAGAAGGGTTTTATTTCTTAACTTTTCTCTTTATTTGTACTTTGTTTTATTTTATACCTAGTTGATATATTATTGTACCTAAGGCTTTTTAGTTAAAGTGATTCTTAATATTGACATAATTTCTTATTTTGGTCCTTGACAATGAAAAGTAATAGAAGTAGTTTTTGAGTTTGTTCACTGTAAGTCATTTTGGTTATTTCGTGAAATCTCTATTAATATCTTTGTTAAGTGAAAGAATTGGTTTGACAAAGATACCTTTAAAAAGGTGGTCGTTACGAGGATATTGACAGATTTTTCATATAATGACCAAAATAATTTACAACGGATAAACTCATGGACCATTTCTATCGATTTTCATTATCAGATACCAAATTGAGAAGTTATGATAATATAAGAGACAATTTTGGCTAAAAAGCCATGTACTAATTACATTTGTCGATTCTCTATATGTATTTATTTCTTGCGCTAAGTGAAGATTAATTTGTTTTCCTTCAGTTGAGTTTGCTGGAAATGTGAAAAAAACTGAACTGGAAGTGGAAACCAATCACAAGGGCACACAAGCATTTCTCAAGCAAGTCGGACTTGTTAATGTTGATGGGCTTGACGGTTGGAGGGAGGGCATTTTAACGATAGGTACCTTGGGTTTCGATCCCGTAAAACCCTTCAACTCCCAGAACGAATATTTCGTTTTGGAGAGCGAAGAGCAAGAGCACGATCAGGAAAACAATGGATTTTCACACTGTGGTGATGACGACGACGAAGATGATGAACATTATGATGATAATTTTGGAGATGAAGAACTGAATCCTTTAATATTTAAAACATTTGAACACAGTTTTGAGGACGTTGGGTCAAACTCTGATGCCACTGAGAAACTAGTTGATGATGATCATGCGATCTTGACCGTTGATGGTGTTCCTCTTACACCATATGAAGGGTCCAACAATGAAATCAGTATTGCACCACCTGATCTGTACCGTTCCGAGATCACTGATGATGATCAAAGGAAGAAGAGAGGCCAAAGAATAACCCTAGCTGACCTATTCCAGGCTGATCATGTTCATGATGTTGGTCAACTGAAGCTTGACTCCTGCAAAGTCCAGCCAAAAATGCAGAAAAAGGTGAACGTGAGAACAAAGACCGGCCTATCATTTGCCAAGAAGCTCATTCTTCGCGTCAAAGAGGATTCAAGTCCAATAAAAAATCTGCAACGAGTGAGTCATTTCCTTTGGGTCATTTGTTTCCTATGTTGTGAAATTGTGATGCACATTTATTGTCCTAGATACACAAAAAGGGTGATCAAGATATTAACTACTTTTTAACTGTTAGTGGTCTTATTTTTCGCGGTTCAATGATTTAGTAACAAATCTGTAATTCCAGAAACCCAAAAAGTAACTAATTATTTGTAATGCTAAAGCTGATGAGGAGGATGTTGAAGAGGAAGATCCATCCAGCTGAGCATGATGTCAAGGTTGACAAATCAGATGGCCAGAAGCAGCCCGGTGCAGTAGAACTCGTCACCAAGGTTGAAAGTGATGCCTCTGAATCAGTTTCTTTGCTTCCAATTCAAGGTATATATATGCATACTCTCTTCAATTCAAAGACATAAAATGTTTCCGCATATTTTTGTTAACATTAACAAAGTGGATAATACAAAAAAGGCCTAATTATCTTTTCTGTATCATTTAGTTATAATGTCATAGTACTAAAGGGCACCTATAAGGGGCTAATTTGTCAAATCTCCATCCAATAATTGGGAAATCATCTAATCCATCAGCAAGTAAAATATGGTGTCAGAGTGTAACTTTATGGCCCCAAAAGGAACTTGATCTTACAGCACTACATAGATGTCATAACGAACATTTTAGATTGCATCAAGTTTAATGGTTAGATGTGTAGCTGAAAGATTCAAAAAAAATTAACAAGTGGATCTGAATTACTTAAATATGTATCCATATACTGACTGTGCTGAAGTGACCCTTGAAAAATACAAAAATAAATTTTTATGCCTATCAAATTATAATTTGTATATGAGAAGAAAAAACTTCTTAAAGAGCCAAGTTCTTATAATTCGAAAACTCGATGGCTCAACTGTCATGGTCACATCATGAAGTCATTTCAATTAGTTGTTAAGACAAACTATAATAAATAGAAACTATTGATTAAGTTGATTATCATTTGAACGATGTGAATTAGATTCATAATCCGATAATATAAGGATCTGTCTAATAACGTAAATCTAAAGAGAAAACATTACTTACATATCACTTTATATTATTGTCTGTTGATGATCCGTTGTGGTTTAATCAAGTCGAAATCATGCCTTGTATGTTTCATATATGCCAATCTGAACACCACCGTCTATGTTTGCTCATCTTTTTGCAGGTTCTACTGCTTGTGTCCATTGAAATATGGCCTGAAACTTCATTGCCTGGAAATGATTTGTACTTTGGTGATTGCTATAATCACTATATGAAGGACAATGTTAATTAATTAGCTTTTTAAGTATGTGCAACTGCTGAACTATTCTATTCCTGTTTAATTTGTAATTTTTCTTAATTGTTTTGGCTTTAGTAATGATGGGAGTTATATTTTTGTCACATAGCCTCTTATAGGCTATGATTTGTGTATCGACTTTTTGATGCATTATCTATTAACTTTAGCAAAATGATCCAACATTGGCACTCAACAAAGAATATGATATTGTGGCGCAGTTTCTAGACAAAGTTTGGCATCTAACTTTTGCTTAAATTGCTTCAAAAACACTTTATTTGTGCACATAATTATTAATAGTCTACCATATTTGTTCCTCTTTAGGTTTATGGGGTTACTTTCTTTTCTATTCTTTTTTTTTTTCTTATTGTTTTTTTCAAAGAGTTATTTCTTCTTACATGACGACGTGTCATCATTTCATCATACAAACATTATAATCCAAATAATTCATTATTTTTATCATTGTCTTGAGAAAATTTCATTCCATTTGAAGATATGTTTAGTCATCCATATGATCCAAAGAAGTTGACTGTTAAGCATGAAGATATTAATTGTTAGTATAACTATTGATTTGTTGCCACTTAGTATTACGGTCTGGTGGTATTCCTCTTCACTTGGAAGTGAGAGGTCTTAGGTTTGAATCTTGTGAATGGTGAATTCGATACCAAATTAGGTTGTTCATTGTGTGGCTTAGCTGAACTCCTACTCCCCCTAGTGTAAAAATATAGATGTACTAAAAAAAAACCTATTGATTTGTTCGACACTTATGGATGGCTAAACAATCTTCAAATTAATTAATTTTTCTATAATTTTTCTATAGATGATCTTTTTATGATGATAAAGAGAATGAATCATTCAAATTACAACATTTGTAATGTAAAACAATGTCACATCTTCAAGTAAAGAAAATAGCTTCTTACATGTAAGTGGCCAAGTATGATCATAACCCTTTGGTCAAATAAAGGGAAAAAAATGAAAAAAAAAAAATGCTAACATAATTAGGGACGGACACAGTTCAGTTCGATTAACACATTTAGAAGTGGATACGGTTTAGTTCGATCCGATTTCACCCCAAAACCATAAACCGAACTAAATACGTGTACTCATTTCGGTTTGGTTTTAAAACCAAAAAATTCGGTTGTGGGCGTAGGGAAATAAGAAAAGAAAAATGATTTGGGTTTTGAGTTGGGCCAGCAACACGGTTAGGTAAGACAGAGTCGCTTGATTTGTTTTTTTTTTTTTTTTTTTTTTTTTTAACAAACAATATTATCTACATTAAAGAGGAGTAGAAATAGCAACGGTTTGGTTTGGGGATAGAAATGTTATATCCATCCTGATAACCACGAAAATTAACTATATACATAACCGTAAATTAACCATAAGTTATTATCCATAACCATACCCATCGGCTAACGGATTCCTTATCGGTTAATGGTTGTATCCATCTTCGTCAACACAAAAAATATATTTGTTTAGTTGACGCATTATAATTTAGTAAATATTAATTTCGTCATTAAATATTTGATGTATAAAATTATTCAATGAAGGGATCCTTTGGAGTATAAAAATTAAAGCTAAACATTGATGTTGTTGGTTGATCTTTGATATCTCTCATAAGTACCATTGAATTCTAATTGATTTTAATTCAAAACTTTTGAACTTTCCCACAAAATAGAACTCACACAATGCAACTTTTGTATTCTCAAGGTAATGGATTCGGTGAATAATGAATATATATATATATATATATATATTATTTGATTTGGATTCAGGGATGGATACGGATTGAGACCCCTTTAACCATATCCAAAATCATAACCGAATAATATTCACGGTTTTTCCTCATATCCAAAATGTATCCGAATTTTTATACCCAATTTCAATCTATTCGGACGGTTATTCACAGTTATCGGGTTTACCGAGTAGAATTGTCATCCCTAAAAGGGATGGGGTGGGCTTAGCCTCATAATGGGCTAGCAATAATGAGGTTCAAATTCGTCTTTAGCGAGACTCGCTTACAAGTGAAGAAAAATATCACTAGACCGTAGTACTAAGTGGTAGAGTTGCTTGATTCTTAAAAACTAAAAGTTAATTTGTACATTGTCATTTAGCACTACGGTCTACTGATATTCCTCTTCACTTGTAAGTGAGAAATCTTAGGTTTGATTCTTGCCGAAAACGAATTTGAATCACATTATTGCTATCTCATTGTGAGGCTAAGCCCAGCATCTTCCTGTAGTACAGATAATATCATTTTGAAAAAGAAAAAAAAAGTTAATTTGTACATTAAATTTGGTTCATTATGAACTTGATCAACCCATTATCGGTTCGAGTTTTATCGCTTTTGAATTTGATCAGCCCAATTTTTTTCTCCAATTTTTTTTGCACTCATTACCAGTTTTTTTTCCCACCCCTAAACATAACATCCAATGATCGTGCCCTTATACATTCGTGATTGTTGAGGACTAGACCTGGCATTCGTGTCGTGTTTTTCATATTCGTATCATTTTCATGTCATACCTGATATCTTAACGGGTCGTGTCGTGTAACATCTATTAAAATAAACAGGTAAAATGACCTGATCCAAAATCGACCCGATAATATTAACGGGTAATATGACTCGACCAGTTACTCGTTAAGGAAAATATATTTTAAACCAATAAATAATCAAATAAAAAACATAATACTAAATAAGTATTATGTTTTCAAAATATGAACATCCGTCAGATGATCATGTTTTCAAAAAAGAAAAGTTTAAAAATGAAATTTAATAAGAAGAATAAAGTCTAAATGACAATCGACAGTTAAATATAAATTTAAGGTTTATGGATTATAGTGTTGGATTTCAAAGCTGACCCCTTTGTGAAAGTTGTAAAGTTTGTCACTATGAGTGATTGTATATTTTTTTGACATTTTTTACACTTATACAATAATTATTGTTAATTTTGCCCTCAAATAAAAAACATTATTCATGAGCGTTTTGAGGATTTTAAAAATCTAAACGATTATGTAAGTGTAACCATTATCTACTCGTGGAGGAATAATGATGAATCACGAGTGTTTATATATTCTTTCACATTTTTCATACTTGTATATATGTCTTCTTAGTTCTTGCCTGTACAAATAAATAATGACTAAAATTTTTTTTTTTTTAACTTATATAGAATAATAACACAAAACTATATATTTAATATAGAATATATTGTATATATTAATTGGCTATTATATTTTATAATAAATCTTTTAGTAATTAAACTTTAAAATTATTAAAATAATTTTTTTCTAAACGGGTCGAAATGGGTTACCCACATGTATACCTGTTATTTACGGGTTCTTAACGGATCACCCAATAATGATCCGATTAGTTATCATGTTAATCCGAAATCCATTATTTTTGTGTCGTGTCAAAAATTGCCGGATCTAACGGGAACTCACCTACCAAATCAAGCCAATTAAAGCAGAGGTGGTCAGTGTAACCCCAAACAACTGAAAGAATAAAGTCTGTGACATGAGCTTTTGCTCACATTTATGAACCATTACATAATTGGTACTATGGTCTATGGAGGGGCATGGTCCTATGGTTATGGGACAAGAAGTGGTACGAAGGTGGTGGACTTTTGGTTCAAATCAATCAAATTTTATGTGGAATTATTTAAGGAAATTTCCACTTTGATATAATGGATATTTCTCTTCGATTATAAGTAAAATGTTTTAGATTTGATTTTTGCCAAAAACAAAGTTTAACCATTTTATTATAACAAACTCATTGTAAGGCTTAACCAGCTCTCACACCTCTTCATTATTAATATTATCGTTTGTTAAAAAATAAAAAATAAAAAATTAGACTACTCCTATTGATATATTTTGAATTATTAAACTGTTTACATTTTCTTTTCTTTTATGAAAAAAACTGTTTTACCAAGACCAACTTCAATCCATAAACTAAAATCTATAATTCCCCATTTATTGTTCATTCGTGATTGTTGGGGACTCACCGACCAAATCAAGCCAATTAAAGCACAGGTGGTCAGTGTAACCCCAAATAACTGAAAGAATAGAGTCTGTGACATGAGCTTTTGCTCACATTTATGAACCATTACGTAATTGGTACTATGGTCTATGGAGGGGCATGGCCCTGTGGTTATGGGACAAGAAGTGGTACGAACGAAGGTGGTGGACTTTTGGTTCAAATCAATCAAATTTTATGTGGAATTATTTAAGGAAATTTGCACTTTGATACAATGAATATTTCTCTTTAATTGTAAGTGAGAAATTTTAGATTCGATTTTTACCAAAAATAAAGTTTAACCACATTATTATAACAAGCTCATTGTAAGGCTTAACATGCTCTCACACTTCTTTATTATAAATACTATCGTTTATTAAAAATAAATAAATAAATTAAGTTGCTCCTGTTGATATATTTTGAATTATAAAACCGTTTACATTTTCTTTTCTTTTATGAAAAAACTGTTTTACTAAGGTCAACTCCAAACCATGGCTTAAAACCTATAATTTCCCTTTTATTTCCCCCATCCCCTACCCTCCCCACCCCAAAAAATCCATTCCAACTCAAGTTCTAAATTGGACCTAAAACCTACCCAAAAAAAAAAAAAAAAAAAAAAGCCAGATTTGGGCTAGGATATAGGCCAAGATTAGGGGTGAAGCCCCCACCAACATGGGTGTGTCTTCCACTTGTCTGCTAATAAAATTGAGCCCAACGGCTCACATTCAAATGGGATGTTGGTTATCTAACGGTCCATATTTAACTTAGTTAATATTTTTGTTTTATATTTATAAATTTATTGAATCCAACGATTAAGATCGAATATGATCAAATCAACGGTAAAAAAAAGATCTAACGGTCCAAATTTAAATTCAACGATTAAAATAATTATAAAAATTATTTAACTCAAAATTCACTCAAAAACTCTATAAATACCTATTTATTTGTTGAAACATCCACACAAAACTAACTTTTCTCCTACAATTCTTCCAAATTTTCTTTCTACCATCTTCCAAAACCATGTGTTTGCTCATGTGTCTTGTGTTTATACATCTTTATCATGTGTTTCATATTCTTGTATAGTGTTTCATGAGTTTCATGTGTCGGTTTAGTGATTTTTCAATGTTTATCAGAATTTAAATATTTTTAGGTTAAAATGTTCATAAAATTAATTTAGGATAGTCTACATAATTTTTTTAAAGTTAATTTTAAAAAAAAATTAGCCTAAATTCATTCTTTAATAATCTGAGGCTAAAATTTTAGGCTAGAATGGTTGAAGCATAAAAGCTATTTCTGGATAAAAACCTAAATTTTTTGGGCTAAAAAATTTTAGGTTTTAGGCTAATAGTTGGAGATGGTCTAAATGGTGGGAATGGAGGTAATTGGGCTACTCTACTAAATGGTTGCTACATCAATGTCAATTTTGTTTTATTTTCTATTGGCTTTTTAACCAAAATGATCTTTGAAATTTGCATAATTCCTCACTTTAGTCCTTGAGATTTGAAATTGATAGAATTGGTCCCTGAGTTTTTCCACAATCAATCATTTTAGTCATTCCACGAAAAATCTCTATAAAATAAGAATAAAATGATAAAAATACCCTCAATTTTTGTTGAATCATTTGGGCTATTGTTCATTATATTGAGGGTAATTTTGTCATTTTGATTCTTATTTAACATAATTTTTCACTAAATGACCAAAATGATTGATGGTGGACTATCTCATGACCACTTCTATTGATTTCAAATCTCAGTGACCAAAGTAAGGAGTTAGACAAATCTCAATGACCATTTTGGCCAAAAAGCCTTTTCTATTTAACCCCACTGAAGTTATAAAATATTGTCCTTCCCATCAAATTGCAAAGCCACCAGATGCACCCTACTAAACTAAATTTATAATTAGATTCTTATAGAAAAACACAAGTTTCACATAAAAAATATAATAATGGAGGGTGATTATATTTTTGTATTATATTTGGGTCTAACGGAGTAAGTAAGAGACATAAACATAGTAAGTGGCCTAGTAGTAAAGATGCAACCTACGGCTCTCCAATAAACATCAAAATATGGGAGGTTCCGGTTTAATGCTCTGCTGTAATGAGTCTGCTTAACTGTAGTCATGGACAGGGTGAAATTCTCTATAGTCTCTCCAGGCTCAAAATAGGTAGATAACCATAGCTTGCCACCAATTGACCCTCTTTTAATAAAAAAAGAAAAACAAAACAAAAGTAAGTAAGAGACATTATATTGCAAAATTTTAGTATGCCTGTGCTAAGTGCAATGACCATTATAGTTTACTGAACTAAAATGAAATTTCACTAAAAAAAAAAAAACAGCTTAATGATCTGTAAGAAATATTTTAGCAGTGCCCCGGAAATTTGGACCTTATCTACTTCATAAACCTTCGATTTCACAATTGTCTACTTCTAACAGAAAATTGGCAAAATTAACAGTACAGAGAAAATTGCGACAATTTAAAGGTTTAAAGTGCTTGAAACCAACTTAAGTGTAGGGCAAAATGGAACAAAATCTATAATTTAAAAAGCAATGCTAAATTTGATGAACATAAATTGCCCAAAAAATACTGACAATGGTGTTGGCCTATTTTGCTCAGGAAAAAAAAAGGGGAGATGGCCGGTGGCAAGGACAAGGAGAAGAGAGAACTTGGTGATTGTGTGATGATGATTTTTCACTTCATTGCGCTTTTATTTATAGTAATAAAGAGAGAGAATCTTATTTCCCAAAAAGGAATACAATTACAACTAAAAAACTATTTAAAAGATACAAATGAGATGAAAATTGTTGGGAAAGTGAAAAATCATCAAAAACATTATTGAAAGATAGCCAGCCAAGTTGGACCAAATTGGAGAAGGGCGTAAAATTTTGACGAGCAATAATAGGGCAAATAGAGAAGATTATGTTGGAAATTTTGAGTAGAAATTTCATTGTTTCATATTGGCCATTTCTAAAAAGTTTCCTTACTTTATAAAGTTTTGTCTCTTATAGATAGTGATTGGAGTAATGAACCTTTGAAAATGAAATTGGGCTTAACCTTGTGATTGAGCATTGGGGTATACTAATTAATATATAATTAATTATCAAAAGATGGGCTTGGGCTTTGATCAGATTCATCTTTTCAGATGAAGTCTGAAGCAAATGGAAAAATGCAGGGAGCACAGCATCCCTCTCAAGAGATGTCTCCAACAGTCACATCCCATTCTCATACCTGTTTCAAACAGGCATAATCCCACTATTTATACATCCATCTGCATGGTATTTAGAACACAGAAAATATCAAATTCTTCTTCTACATTCCTAAATCTTCTTACTGAGAGAATCACACAGGAATTCACCAGAAATTAAGTTTTTCGGTGCTGGAATTCTAACATGATCGTTGAATCCTGGTGAAGCAGACGTCTGTAGAACTACAACCACTGAATAGGGACGAAATTTCTGTTTCAATGACATTGCGTTACGTAAGCCTCGATCTTCTAGTGGTCTGTTTTGTATTTTTGTTTTGTTCATATTCTGTATTTTTTTTATTTGCATTTATTATTAGCATGTATAATTATATTACATATTGTTGACGGCTAAAGATATTTGGTTGGTGCGTTCAAAAAAAAAAAAAAAAAGATCTTTGGTTGGTGGATCAATCAAAATACTAAGTACGGATCTCGGTTATCACTTCACCCAAAGCATTTAGTGTGCCAGCCACAACTCTTGAGTCTGAAGTTCAGCATTTTAAAGACAGCTAAAACTTCTTACTACTTCAGAGGAGGAGCTGTGCTTCAAACCCCATCATCTTCTTCTTCTGTTCTCTGTAAGTGGATTTCTTCAACCCTTTTAGTTTGTCTATGGATCCAATCTATGTGTTTTTTGTGTGTTATTTTGTTTGTTTTTTGTTGGTTTATTATTATTATTAGTATTATTTTTGGTTTGGGGTTGACTTTGTGATGAACAGAGGCTGCTGCAGGAATGGGTTCAAACTCTGAAGTTTATCTCTTCGAAGAGGTGGCAAAGCACAACCACAAGAAAGATTGTTGGATCATAATCTCTGGAAAGGTCAGATTTGTGGTCTTTAAAAAAAATAAAATTCCTTTTTGATTGTCCTTTTATTTTTTATTATCCTTGCATCTGGAATTGTTTCAGTTTCTGGGTTGATTTGTGATTTATCTTTTGGTTAAAGGAAAAGCCTTGTGCTGCCGCCCTTTTTTTTGTATTAAAGGAGTTACTTTTGCATTATCTGCATTGAATGCATGAAAGTTTACAGATCTAATTGAAAGTCTAAAGGAGAATTCAAGCAATATGAAGGTATAATTATTGCAAAAATATGATGGTTACTAATTAAATGGTATTGTTGTGTGGAGGACTGAATTGCACATTGTGTTTTCTGTGTAGTTGGTGTGTCTGTTTTTGGTGTTAATAGGATTTAATCACTGGAAAATTAAATAGGATGGGATGGAGGAGGAGGCCTGCGGTACTAATTTGTATCGAGGAGGAATTGCGTATGTGGTAAACACATTTAAAGGAGGACAATTAATTAATTTCTTCCACTAGATCAAGATAGTTCATTGGTGTTGCTCTACACTTGCTGGTCCTAAGGTAGTGAAGATTAAGTATGTGTACAACTCTGAACGGTTAAAGGAAAATGTGTCAGATTGGAAGTGGAATTGTAAAAGATGAGCGATTTGATTGTTATTATGTATAGTTAGATTGGTAGCATGGCGAGTAGTGGACTTGCGGGGTTGACTTATGAAAGTTGTTTTTGTTTGAAATAACTCTTGCTAATCGGAGAAAACAATTGTAATCTCTGGTGGTATGGGAAACAATTGTTGCACTCTAGGCAACTTTCAGAACTGCAGAACAATGAAAAAAACCGTATGTGAATCTATCACGTGCTGAGCTGGGCAGGAGAATCAGCTGATCTTGTTCAAATGGGTATGCAAACAGGAAACTTTTAAGATCAGCTGCTGCCCCTTCCCAGCAGCTGCAGAACTAAACAGTTTTACAAAGACATTTTCGGTCATTGGTCAGGAAAGAATTAGCTGGGCCTCCTCACTGGTCAGTTTCTGTACTCTTATATTTGTTTCACAGTAGGAAGGGGTTATAAAGATAAGGACACTTGCTTCCAGCAGTGAATATGCTGACCTACATACGATTTTTAAATTGGTTCCTAGCTATAAGGTCCTTCTCTTTGTTGTTATGTTGATCATACAGAAAATCAACAGAGATTTTAGTTAATTCTTCCATCTGGTAACTTAGATGGTTCACTTTTTACTTTTATCTTCATCTACCTGCATAAATTTTTACCTGCTTCACTAACTATCTAGTATATTTTGAACCACTTACCACAGGTTTATGATGTGACCCCTTTCTTGGAGGAACACCCTGGAGGCGATGAAGTCTTGCTATTAGCAGTCGGTAAGATTGTAGACTTCAGCTAGAGAATTTATCTATTAGCTTTCCTACTGTTGTTTCTTTACTGGTTAGAGTATGCGAATGTTTATGTGTGGTAATTAGAATTTTTGGTTGAAAATCTTGCAGAAAAAGATGCAACAGATGATTTTAATGATGTGGGGCACAGCGATTCCGCGAGGGAGCAGATGGAAAAATACTATGTAGGCAAGGTTGACACGTCCACCATACCGGCACAGCCAAATTACAAGCTTCCTCCTCAAGCAGCTGCTCCTGCTGAACAATCTTCTGGACTCATGGTAAAACTTTTACAGTTTCTGCTACCCTTGTTGATCTTGGGAGCTGCATTTGCTCTGCAATACTACAATAAAAAGTAGTCCAATTATCCTTCATCCGTATGAACTTTCTTCAGACCGATAGTCTATCACTCAAGTGGTAATAACGGAATTTCAGTTACTAGTTTTCATTTTTTATTATGTTATACGACCTTTTCACGTATCGTATTTGTGTGGCTTGGAATTTATTGAGTTGGCAAAGCTTTGTTTCATCTCATTGCAATAATTTCTTTTAAAACATTTGCTGCTTCACCTTCAATTTAGCTGGTTCAGTCAGTGTGATTGATGGGATAATATTCACCATTATTGCTTGTGTTCATGATTTAGACGTCTTCGGATAGCAGAAATTTTAAGACTTGGCAAAATAGCTTCCTCACTGGTAACCCATACGAGGAAAAGTTATTGTGTGGAACTGGAGCACGGCCATGTGGATGTGGTACCATAGCACGCGGATTGGTTATACTGGCTGGCGGTTTCTAGTACTAGTATCACGCGACAGTATCTCACAGACGAGCTTTACATGCAGAAAGCTTAACAATTTATAAAAACGAAGGTCTTAGTTACAATAAAAGTGTTGGATGGCTCCAATATTTATTCCAATCTTAAAAGTCTTTCGCGTTTCTTACTTGATCTTGGCCACCGCATGTAAACACCAAAAACTAGAAACTGAAGATTTGAGTTGTGTGGAATGAAGAACCCCATTTACTCATTCACGTTGGCAACTGTGTGTCAACTATTTCAAATTTCAAAAATTTTCAATGCGGATTGTACTTGGATCTTGATTAAGAACCTCATATCCTTAATGACTGGTGAGTTTCCATCAATTTTTAAGTGTCGTGTCAAAATTTCGTCTATTTTTAAGAATAGAGGCGGATTCGAACTTAGGTGAATAAGTGAGTGTACACAGGCCAATTTGATAATATTTTTAAAACAAGAGCTTGGAATTCTGTGGTTCTTAATTAGTGTTTTTGGGCTTCAGTTTTCGACCAAATAACAACAACAAAAAAAAGAAAAAGGCTTGAGAATGTTAGAGTTAGATTGCTGATCCGAGTTCGCAGATACGCACATTAACTATACGGGTTTGAATGAGGATCCTCTTCTGATTCTCTTTGTGAGGATTCTCCAATCACATTCGTTTATCGTACATTGTACAGTCAGTTTTCGTCAAGTACTGTTTATATTCAATTTTAAATAAAAAAATTTACAATGATTTCTGATCACACGATATATGATGAACGGGCGTGATTGGAGAATTGCTAGAATCCTCACAAAGAGAATCCGGAGAGGATCCTCATTCTACGGGTTTAACTAGATCTTAAGCTTCTTCTAGTACTAACTATCTGTCATATTTACAGTGGGATTTCTTTCCTTTTATGGAAAGTTTTGTTCAAGTAGGTTTCCAGAACCTGCCATCAACTTTGACAATGCAGGGCTCGTTATGCGGATGGTACTAATTATTCTTAAAAATAGTCTTTGGTCTGGTAGCAATTGTATTATCTTGGTTGGAGAAAGTTATAGTTCAACCCAGATGGATGCAATGAGAATATATTTGTAATGAGTCTGACATACATATTCGTGGCTCACTTCATTGTGGTGGTGTAATGAATTTTGTCGTGGGTTCAATAACCAGTTGGAAAATTATCTTTGAAAGTATCACATCGCTTTGTTAAATAGAAAATATTGTAGGAAAGGGACTAAAAACTTAATCTTAGCCTCAAACCTAAAGCATAATTTGAATGATTATATTTCATAAAACACCGATCAGACAGCCCGTCTGTAGTATCAAATCAATGGAAAAAGAGTAGAATCTTTCTGTTCAATATTGTACTTAAGGTTATGTCATTTGGCACTCCCTAATCCCTATTTTAGGTATGTAGCTGTGAATTTGTGGTGCCAATTTCACTTGCTTAATGACAATGCAAACTCTGGACCATTTACGAATCACTTTTCCGCAAGTTTTGTGCTTCAGATCTAGCATGATTTGTGGGATATGTCGTGTTCTTGATTAGGGTGGGATTTGATATCACGAATAAGCAACTTCACCAACTACTTCGAAGTTAGTATGTCATAATATATGGAGTACTGATTAGCATAGTAATACTGATGTCATAATATTAACTTATGTACCGACTATGGGATAGTAGAATTTTGTAATGATAAATTGTTCTCTCTTCGTTTTTGGCCTTTTCAATGAAGTTACATTTTAGATCAAAATAGGGGCATAGTAAAACTTTATAATGATAAATTGGCATGTCATTCGTTTCCCGTCGACCAGGTTGAAAATTTTGACAAAATTTTAATGAAATCACATAAACGCATACTACCATCATATGCATACTATATTTTTACCTATTTTAAGGAAACAACACAAAACCCTCGAAAACTAAACTTTAAACCCAAAACACCACAACTCGAAATCCCAAAAAAAGATGCCATACAATAATTACTCAAGAAAATATCACGGTCAAATTATAATCGTACAGAAACCCTATGTGCTTAGGTACTTATCATAATCATACAACCACCTTATCGTAATTAAGGTGATTGATTAAGTTCATGACATGCATGCTAGTATATCCCTTGCGTTGATCTCACGCATTATTTTTCCAAAAAAACAAACATGAGGTTCAGCATTCGTTATCGATCGATGTTTATTGAACCTCATGCAACTGATCATGTGCAGATTATATTATAATTTGATTCAACAGAAAGCCGAGTTGAGTTTTAATTATTTGGAAATGTACATAAATTTGGTATGTGAACAATCAATTTGGCATTCGTTTGATATAAAATGATATAAACTTTCCATTCGAGCGGAAGGTGACACGCCTAAAGAACTTGGGATGTCTATCACAAACACCTCGATTGGGTTGTTAAGACACATATTCACATCCAATGATGATTAAATAAAGAGTTTTTTTTTTATTTATTGGCGCTCCACATCATTGAATACACCCCGTGTGAAAATTTGTTATTAAATGACTTATATATTTTTAATATGAAATGACCATTTAAGCCGATTAAGATTTTAAACAAGATAAATATTTCATATATACACCCCGAAATCATGTCCAACATGTATCTTTTTTTTTTTTTTTTTTTTTTTCATGCTCTCAAAGCCACTCTAGCCCTCGATTGTAGAACAAAACAGTAACCACTAAAAGAAAAAACACATTGATGAACAAAACTAGTTTTAACAAACAGAACATGAAATTAACATTTTGAAAGTTTCACATGAGGTAAGACTATATATTTTCTCATTGTTTCCGTGATTTCAACAATGTTGGTACTGCCTTTTTCGAAACAATCTGATTGGGTATTAGTCTGATATGCAAACAGTACATACTGTTTCATAAACTTACGTCGCTTACCTTTACAATTTGAAAGAACAAACTTGTTCGTGAAGAACAAATTGCCAGCAATTGAAGATAACCACGTTATATTGGAAGGATTTGTTCATTCCAATTTGTCGTTTACAAACAGCATTATGAAAGGTTAGAACCTTTCCCATATTCCAGTTACATACAACCACTATATTCATGTTCCATTTGAGGGGTTATGCCAATCAGCTGCCACAAAGAATTGATTTAATTAATTACATATTTTGAAATTATACAACATCTTCCTTTTGTTCTTTTGTAACAGATGAATACGGAATACATGGTGTTGATCTGGGTGTATGTGGACAGCGTGGGGTGTATATGGTGAATGTGGAGTTTATGTAGTAAGAGTTTTTTTTTTTTGTTGGGGAAAAAGTAAATATGAAGTGTATTCAGTACGTGAGATGCATTCACCAATATATAGGGTATGAATAGAACAACTCTTAAATAAATCCCAGTCCAATTAACTTACGAACATAACCAAGCTTACCAATACGAGCATCATCTCACGTTTTAAGAGTTTTTAGATTTTTTTTTTTAAACTAAAACTTCCGTTTGGTAACTATGTTTAGTTCTTAAAAAAATAAAAATTGAAAAAGCTAATTTTTAAAATTATCACTTTTTCTTAAAATTGAAAGTTGTTATCAAACAAATTTTTAATTTTTAGTTTTCAGAGAAATGAAAATTGAAAACAAAATGCTTATTCTTAACATTTTTATTTATTTATATATAAGCGATTTTACGTGTCCCCAACTACATATAAAAACTAGTGAAGTAAAGAACTTTTGAATGTACGAATTCTATAGAAAAGCTAGTACCTCAATAACATTGCAACAACACTTTGAGAGAACGACATATTGAAATACTTGGGGAAGGAGCGCTATGTCAAAGTGTATTATGCGTTTGCCTTGTATCTTCCGTATATCATTAGACACAAAGGAAAAGAGACATGCAATTGGGGACAACAGACCCTTAGCCTCAAATTTGACCCAAAAAAAAGAAAAGAAATGTTGTTGTCAAATTCTGGATAAAGTAAATTTTGAAATAATAATATGCAAATACCTGTACTTAATTTTTTTCTCTTAATTATTGGCAAGTGGGGATTTAATTATTGATTTAAGGAACGGTAATTAATGGGTACCACAAGTGACAAGTCAAACAAGCATCCCACCTCATCCAAAATAGTGATTGGATTAAAACATGAACAAACCAAGAACACCCATCACATGTATTTTATTTAATTCTTCATCTTCTTCTGCCTCATCCACACTAAAACGGTATCCAAATTGTTTTGTTTTTGTTCTGCACAATCCAAGCAATTTTGTTACTTGCGTTTATCTTTCTTTTACCTGTCAAAATCCGTGTCTGGAAATTCAGAGCAAGCATTAGTCGGAGATTCTTGCGGCTATGATTAAATCAATTAATGAAGCCTTGTTAACTATTGATTATAATTACAGTAGGGTCCTCATACTTCTATATGAAGAGAAAGGCTCGAAATACTGTTTGATAGATCATTGTCGTTGGCTCCATTTGTTTTCATCAACTGTCTTAATTGCATGAGCCAAATGAACGACAACAACTCATCAGCATCTTACACGTAAGGCGTCACTGTTGATTTTTGCTTTTGCTCTCGACATTTTCCTGGGTTTAAGGCCCATACGGTTTTAAAAATTTAGGTTAAATAGGTAAGGCTGATTGTTACTCATACTGTACGTGGTGCTGATCATATCTTTCGCTTCAACATATATAAACAGGTAGGCCTGAAGTATCTACATATATCTGGGGGAGAGGTTGCTCCATTTGTCTGGCATCTTCTTACTCCCACTTTTTAGAAAAA